ACGGCTGCATTTTTTAATTTTTTCTCGTATTATCAAAGAACGGTAAAGAAAGTGGTGGTGGTGGTGGTGGTGGTCCCATTGTCCAAACATACTGTATTTTGGAAAATTAAAAAAATCTAAATGGTAAATTTGAATTTCCCATGCTTTGTATGAGACGGTGTCTCTCCAAGGCAAAGTAATTTGAGAGAAGCTTGGAGGCAGTCATTCGAATCTTGAAATGAAAGATTACGTTTATTATTATTATTATTATTATTATTATTATTATTATTATTATTATTATTATTTTATTATTAATTATTATTATTGATTATTATTATTTTATTATTTATCTATTATTATTATAGTTAATTATATTATTATTATTATTTACTTAAAGCATTAAAATCTATTTAAATTGTGGTCATTTTAATTGTGAAAACAAATGGATCATTTTCTTTGCATAATGTGTGGGTAATAACGATAGATTCGTGTAAAAACGAGTAGTTTTGAATGAATATAAATTTAATAATTTAAATTATTATACTTTTTCTATCCGTTAGATGATTTGTTTCAAGCGGTATCAGACATGAGTTTGCATAATGAGTCATGCCATTCGAATCAACGGCATAGGTGCTCCACGGGCCGAACCTTCACTGTCAACATTAAACTGGATATTGTTCAGCAAGAATTGAGGAACGATACATACGTGGCTTTTGATGCAAAACATGCCATGCGGCAGTCAACACCCACCGTTTGGCACAGCAGCGTATAGCCAGCAGACCAAACTATTTTTCGAAAAATTTAAACTGACCTCATTTGAATATCTATTTTTTATGATCACATTTATAAGACAAAAATGTTTTCTTCAATAATTGCAGTGTACGGAAGATGCTGAAAAAACATTTTGAATTTTGGCATTTTCAAAAAATTAACAATATTCCACGAAAATTAGGCTTGTACCATTCTCCCTTAAACGTTTCTTGCACTAATTCAACAACAAACTTTAATCAAACAATTGGAGGCCTTTTTTTTACAAAAAGTTAAAAATGCCCAAGGACTTCATGTAAAGTACGCCCCAAAGTTAAAATTATGGTTGCAAAGTTTTTAAGGGGTGCAACCATCAAGCCATTAACGATTAACAATCAACAATTTTGGAAAGAAAATCCCTGAAACGGTTTATGGATAGCGTTGTCGCACAGCCAGAAGACGGATATGACTGACGTTTTTTGCCGTTCAATCGATTTTTCGGTATGAAGGAGACAAAACATTGACTCTGGCTACAAGACATCACCTGTTGTTTTAAACATATTTATTTGTTATAGATGGAATACATTCGTTTAGTTGTACAAATTCAATTTACTGATCTTGGTTTTTGACTTAGTGCTAGTAAAATATGGATAGCTAACTTAATGCGTCCTCTCCTAGAGAGGAGATATCAAGAGGAAAACCTCGGGTTAAGTATCATATTGCAAAGATGTTTGAGAAAGGCTTCAAACCGGAATGATTATTTTTTATTCGGGTATGGTTTGGATTTTTCGCATGGTTTTGAACATGAGATACTGCTGGGATGTTTGTCAGGTTTTGGTAGCAATTGTGTGATATCTGTATATAGGCTATTTGTTATTATTGCATTGATGTTTAATTCGGAATGGAGTTGTTTATTACCTATGAACGCAGGGGCATTTTGTTTGATTAATCTGATAAATTTGTATTGAAATTACTCGGGTTTTATTGACATTGTGGGGCTGTGTTGTGTCCATCATTGGGCCATTGCGTAGAGCATTGGTTGCACTTATAATAGCTTTTATAAATGTTGTAGAAGTTGTGTATGACAGGAATTTGGTTTGTTGATTAGTGGCCGAGTTGGAATAATTTATTTCTGCTTGTTTAGTTTTGATAGATATAGAGTTTTCCAGGTTAGCTTTTGTGCCCAGGTGAATCCGCTAAGTATTTATAGGTTGTGATTGTAGGATCCAAGTGATGGGGGAGACTGTTTACTACTAACGGAGGAAGGGAGGTAAGCTTACTAGTAAGAAGATTTTTTGCTAATTGTTTTTTGCAGACTAAATTGATTTTTACAGATGTTTGTCAATGATTTTATTTAAGTTATTTGAAATTGTGATCGGAGGTTGTTTTGTGAGTCTCCTGAGGCTAATAGTGCTATATTATCTGCGAAATGCGCTATATTATATGTTGATGATGGAAAATCTGAGATGTATGTAACATTACATATTAGAGGATTTTTTCTATATTTAGCAACTGTATTTGTCCACTTTGTTGTACCTCGTGTCCGGTAACAAGAGTTTTTATGTGGAAAATTTCCGTTTTCCGGCGCAATACAATACTTTTTCTTACGTTAGTAAGTGCGATAAAGTAAACTTGTTTATTTTCATAATTGCAGTTGTAGGAAGATGCCGAATTTGTTTTTGAATTTTTACAATTTTTAACAATTAGAATTTTTAACGAATATGATACCCGCACCATTGTTCTTAGCGTCTTGTATGCTATTCAAGGGCAAAATTTAATCAAAATTATTGGGGCAGTTTTTTAGAAAAGAATGAAATTAAACTAAACTAAACATTGAGTGTATTTCATGCAAAAATTGCGCGAAAAAATACTAAAATTTTCATGACCGTTTTTCAAAATAGTTTATCAGATTTCATTTAGGAAAAAAATCAATATCTTCATAATTGTAGTTATAGGAAGAAGCCGAAAAAAATTGAATTTTTGCAATTTTCGAAAAATCAGGGTTTTCATCGAACATGAGATCTGCAGCGTTCTCTTAAACGTCCTTCACACTATCAATCAAAAAAAATAATAAAAAATGATGGAGTCATTTTTTTGAAAATGATAGAGAGGCTCTGTGCCAGGGGCTTTGTGATAAAGTGCCCCTCCCAATTAAAACATTGGTTTGAAATTCAAGGGGGAACGACATCATCCATATTGATTGGTGGATATTAATGTCGGCTGAATGGTTTAGTCGCCTGAGAAAATCGGCTGAATGGTTTAGTTAGTCGCCTTCGTTGTTCGTTGACAGACGTTTTGCTGTCAATCGATTTATCGGTATCAAAGACACACAAATCACGGTTATGACTATACCACGTGTTAGAGGAATAGATTTATCCCGTTTTTTGTTACCAGTGCTCTGGAAAAGAAGTTTTCTGCCGAAAATTCGCCGTTTTTCGGGCAGAATTACTTAACGTTCTCTTTACTGCGTATGAGAGTTGTGCCGTAGAATAAGATTTTACGTCTAAGCGTGTTTTATACATGTAATCTACATGTAGTCTACATGACTCTTTTATGTGTAGACTACGTAGACAATATAGTATGTGTAGACTATTGTTTCACATAAAATAACCCAAAAAAGTTCATAAGAAGTTTCGTAGTAGAAGCGTGTTGAAATGTAATATTAAAAATGTTATTTTTGATTCAGTTAGTAAAACAAATTATACCAATCCTGATGAAGAAATAACAAACTTCATAACCATCTCAAGAAACCAGAAGGGACGTGTTTCTACTTACACATCAGATCCTCATGCATCCGACTCCTTTCCTCCAAGTGCAGTGTCACCAACCTGGTGCGCAGTAATATTGTGTAGATCCCTGTTTATGTCGCCAACCTCTGCGCCCCGCGCAAGCGAGGCCGACCAGATAAGTATTTCACAGGTGGGAAGGTAACTCCAGTCATGATTGTGACCCACCCCATAAAAATTTTTGAAACGAAACAATTTAATTTTAAATTTAAAAATGTTTTAAAAATTAGAAATAACGTTTATTCATAATGATAGTACTCCTCTGGATGTGATCAAATAAATTTATAGTATTGCTGTGGATAAGTTATGTATAACTATAAATACATTTTGGTTTTGGAGGTGGAACATGGCTCTCGTAGATTCGCCCATGCCCCACAAAAATGGTAGATTACCGTTGTCTACAGGGATTGCCTTTGTCTACGCTGAATACGTTGTCTACCGTTGTTTACGTGTTCATGTAAACTACGATTCTTTACGCATAGACGCACATTACTGCTGCGTAAACGACAGCGAGAAAATAAAACAGAGATTGCAATTGCATTATTTGAAGGAAAAAAAATGCAATTGACATCGATACTTTTCGTATGCACATGATTGTCAAAAAATAAAGGAATTACGCCTTAAAAAGCAAAAAAGTAATGAATTTGGAAATTCCGAGAGTTGTATTTTGTTGTTGGGAAAATTATTTGAGCTTATTTTCTTAACATGTATTTCATGCGCCTCCAAATTAACCAGTAATTTTACTCAAGGTAAGCTTAATTGGCTGAAGGACAGATTCATTTCGAGACACAGGCAACAAAAATTAGTTCTGACGGTTACAGGAAAAACTGCAGTCTTTCAGCAATTTCGGCCTTTTGTTTCGACGGGCGCGGATGCAGGGAGTAGGCCTTGGTCTAATCATTACACCCCCCCCAGCCGCCGCGCCGCCGCTCCGCTAGCAGGTTCGCAGCTGATGCCAATTGCCACGGCGCGGCCGCGGGGCGGCGCGACAGCCTTGCGGGTTCCTTCGGGCCACCTCGTTGGAAGACCCCTTGCCCGCCGCATGTCACTGGCTGCCGCCCGCGCCACCACGCGAAGCGCCCGGCCCCGCTCCGAACGCCTCAGGTGAGCAGACAGGTGTCTGTGTGTGTGTGTGTGTGTGTGTGTGTGTGTGAGAGAGAGAGGGGGGAGGAGCGAACAAGAATGATGGGCAATTTCGGATCATCTTTTTGCTACTAGGTTGCGTGGCCAAACAGACGGGAAAATATGAATAATAGGGCTTTCGCCAATTTCCTAAGCCTTGGGTTCCCTAGTCAAAAATTGTGTGTATCGTACGTCAGTGACACTTTCAGTTTTTGTTTTCCGTCTATATACGCAGTAAACTTGATTATTCCATTTATGATATTTGTATGTAATTTAAATGGTGACAGCGTACACAATTCTTTTTACAGAATATTTGTACTTGATCCTTATCAACTGGCTTTAGATTATCAGTTTTCGTAATCGAGGTAATCTCGGACCGAATGATTTCTAACGCTCACAGGTATGTACAAATTAACACTTGATAAGATCTCAAATTTTGATGTTTTTGCCCAAAATATGCAAATACATATTTTATTAATTTTTTTTATCAAAATAAAATTACTTCCGTGCATTGAAGATATCGTAACATCATTTTATTCGGGAGATATCTAAAAACGGGCCTTGCAGTAAATAAAACCGAGAAATGTTCAAGTTTATAACTTTAAAAGAGTTAATATGACAACAAAATCTTATAGTAATTTTTTTGTAGGAAAATATGTTTTATTACTTTTTGTGGAGCAGAAGTTTCAGTATGATTGATAGTTATGGCAATATATGAAACGCAACTCCTACCCCGACTCACTCCCCACACTTCAGGATTTTTACTCGTAGTATAATGTGCGGTAGGTACCAACGAACAATCATACTTCGTTTTTAAAACTCTCGGAATTTTTTCCTTCGTTCACTAGTTTTTGGACAGATTTGACTAAGCTAACTAGCAGAAGGCAAGATCGAGCTCCCTTTAAGGGAAACACGCAGTCTCAATTAAACACTTTAAAACGGTATGTAATACCACAATTTGATCGCAAAAGAGCATATGGATCAGTTAACTATTGGCGCCTGCAAATGTGGGGACTAGAAGCTGAGGAAAATATAGAAATATAGTCTTCACATATCTTCTTGAAATATGAGTGTTTTAGTCCTGTAAAATCAACATTTTGTTTCTGCGCGTTATCAAAAGGCCTCTCTTATGCCTTGAATAGGTGATCATTCTATTGTTTCTTGTATGACATACAAGCGACAATAAGACATACGACATTTTGTTTGAGAATTACTCATACCACTGGAACGTGTGATTTATTTTTAATCAAATTTTCGCGCGGTTCTGAACGTTGGAGATCACGTACATTCTTTTTAAGTAGGAAATTGAGCTTAGACAAATTATTTCGGCAGAGGTGATTGCTTTCACACAATTCAAACAAAAAACAGAGGTTGGGAAATTTTTATTTAGTAACAGAAAAAAATATGGATTGAAAAATTTTATCCTCAGCAACTTTTAAAACCTTTCCTCTAAGTGTACTTTGCTTTAGAAATGAGTTCTCATCGCCAGTGATTATGAGATATTAAGTGAGCGATGTAGAATTGTGAAGTGGGATGAAGAGCGGGACCAGGGAACGGAAAATTGTGCAGTGGGTGTGAACAAGACAAACGCCAATTTTCAATCTGATTTATTTAAATATTAACTATTACAGTCTGTATTGGTTATTACTTTTACCACTTCCAATATCACTGTTGTCTATCATTATTTAATTTATGATTTGATAATAAGTTTATGTATCTTATAGTCGAACTTATAACAGACTATACTCAGTAGCTGTTTTTGTAAAATCTAATCTAGTCTGGCGGATTTTAAGCGAGAAATTTGATTCTACAGATTCCATGATTCGTTGCGTGATGATACGGATTATATGAGTATATAACACAGCAATGAAGTAAGCCCATATATACTTCTCTGTCTTCTTTCTTCTCCGTCAGTTCAACTTATTTCATGCTCTTATATTTGTTCTCCTTCCTTGCGTTTCCTCTCGTCGACTTTTCTCTCTTCTCATTTTCCTTGTCGTTCTTTTTCCTCGGCTCTGTCAGCTCTTTCTTCTTATCCTTCTATCTCCTCTCCTCTTTGTTTTCATACTTTTTCTTCCCCTTCTTCTCCTTCTCCTCCTCCTTCACCTAGGCGCCGTAGCTGATATTCATGTGGTGTCACTGTTTGAGGGGTCGCTGCAACACCGTTCATGAAACGTATAAACGTCATTTATGCTGCGTCAAACAAGATGACATCGATCCGAAGTACACAGGAAATTAATTTCACACATAGTTCAGGAGGGGTTGCGAAGCTGCCCTTCAGCTGTTCTTCCCAGGATCTACTCCTCGAGAAAGCGTTCTAATTGCAAAAGGTGTTTGGGGGTAAAATTATTTTATTTGACGCACTAAAAATTGCAGATATGGGAGATGTAAAATTTTAATGTAACCCTCCGCCAATTACATACGAATACGCTTGTGTTAGTATAGATGCACTATTTCTCTCTAGAGCTTTTTATTCCAAATATTTTTTCGTTGTGAAATTTTGGAGATATTCAATGTCGCAATTTGAAGGGACCATTCAGAATCGTTACAATGAAGAAAAGTAATGAATATAGTATGAATATGTCTGGATAAGTGAATACAAATTACGTCAAGGGATTACAAATAACGCACAAATTTCAAAAGAACAATACCTCACTCTCCGTGTGTGAATCCGTCACTCAAGGTTAGACCACTTCCCGTGCACCAATCGAGACACACGAGGTGTCATTTTACGCTTCTCTCTATCCTGGTGGAGAACTGATAATTTGTTGTTGGATGCGGCGATAATCTTAAAGGACATGTTCGAAAACGTTTTATCGCTGCGTTCGCCGGAGACGGAGGATCTAATCAACGCCATCTAAACAAATCTATGTAGGTGGCGTTGATTATATCACAGGGCCCAGAGAAAATGTTCAGTTTCACAACGCCATAATTCTCTTCTATGAGGATGGCAACACTGATTGTTCCGGAACATGTGAAACACACGGCAGAACTGCCAATAGTGATGCTGCTTTGAACATAAGACGTGGTGTATTCTGTACGTATTGTCGTATTTTTAATAATATATTTGCAAACATTCACATAAAGTATTACTTGGAACATTTTAAATTTGAAGAATAAGTGAATACGAAAACTTGAACTTCAGTAGTGTTAGAAAACGGAAGCACACGCATATATGACTGCACATTTACGTTCTTTAGCGTGCAAAGGCGGGGAAGAATCAAATGTTATTGTAGATATTGTGACAGAATTTTCTGAACTAATTGAGAATGATCTTATAGGAGGATTAGATAACAACGCCGAAGAAAAGCTTCTAGGTGATCGTTTATGTCCGTGCATATTGGCAAAAATAGCGTACAAATTGTAGTGATACTAAATTTTAGCTATTCGTATCATTAATACCCGCAAGTATATTTTAGGCGATTACAATTTTGAAATTGCAATATTGCCAGTTCATATCCCTTATGGAGGTAATACACAAGGTCATTGAGTGTTGGGAATTTTTGAACAGGAGTATAGCATTATTAGCTACTACGATTCATTGGTATGCCTAATGTCAGAGACTGTAAGAGCTAATTTGAACAAAGCTTTGAATGACATTTAGAAATTTTCATCACATGTAACAACTTTTAAAACAATTTACAGCGTCGGACACGCCCCTTTAACTAGTAAATATGTATTAAAAATAACAATATTTTAACATACAGTATCCATCAAATCACGTTAAATATCTTTGTATTAAGGAAACCAATCCATTAGAAAGATCGAGGGAACTTGTAATTTTCCAATCGCATAACCAATGGTATTGCAAAATATTATACGAGAGTTGTTCGCACATGTTCAAGTTCATGACATCTTTCCATTATGTGAAGTTAAGAGGAAATGCCGGTCGTTCGTGTTGTGGGAAGCTGTAAAGGAAAAATAAACTCGGAAAACCGGTTTGAAGCGTTGGAAAAGGGAATTTAAAAAATGGTACTCACTGTCACTAATATTCCGGTGTGCAAGTACACAGGAATATGTTTACTATTCACAGCACGCAAAGTGGCATTTGAAAACTCTCTTTAGTAAAAATTGATTGAAATATTTCAGGAGAAAAGAAAAAAATATGTCTCTGTGGGAGAAATAAAATGTCGTTATCTTAAAAAAACAGGAAGACATTCTTTAAGGAGATGATATTAGTGGGAAAAGTATCATTTATTGCTTCATATTTTTTAATGAAATTACCTATAATATTGACATTTCACAGCTAGAAATTCATTACTTCGCCAACGAATTCAAGTTGCCTACGTGTGAAAGAAAATCGCTCTCTAATATGAGCATGATGAGTTTACAATTGACATATTGTGCCATACTGATTTTCACAGTACTAGTTAAATATTTAACCAAGACAATCTAATAACAGTTTACCTATAGTAAATTTCATAATCTTATGATTACCGTACATGTACAATATATGGTCATTACAAATGTTCTTATGTTTTTAAATAAAAAAATGCGCGAATAAATAAATAAAACGAATTTCATTAAAAAAATACTACGACTCCGGGATTATATTTATAATCGAGCTTCTCTTCCCCACGCACCTACCGGCTCAGGTGGCTCACAGCATGCCATTGCAGCGGCTCTGACCGAGAGCACGTACAGTTTGAGAAGGGCCAGGATTTTCGACTCTAGCTGTCTAGCCAGGTCTAGTTCAGCCGCTGTCTGCAGGAGAATTCTAGCGGCCGGCTGCTCTGATCGATATTTGCCGTGATTTCTCTCATCAACACTAGGCGAATGCAGGAACAGTACAATAACAAACGGGCCACGGACAGCGCGCGCTCTTTTCTTCGCATTCCTTGTCCTATCCAGGCCTCTTACTCTCACACACTTGCACGAATGACACTGCCCCCCATGCCGGGAGGCGAGAAGGGAACGCAGGGCTTGTCGCGGGGGGGGGCGGTGCCCTGCCAGCGGACGGGCAGGTCGGCAAAGTATCTCACCCCCCAGCGGGAGGAGATCACCACCACCTGGTGGCCTCGTCACCAATCAATCAATCTAACTGCGCCTGTAAATCCGGCTTTGCGATTTACGATGATGGTGAGGTTTTTGTACCGCGTGACATCAGGCTTCGAAGGAATCCTCCTGATTCCCCGAAGATAAAACTCCTACGAGGAAGATAATAGTGGCAAATAACACTCCGATCGTTGTAACGAGAATGGCTAAGACGTCTTTCGTCAGTAACCAGCGTAAAAGTGGGCGAAGCATCTCGAGCCATCAGTAGAGATGGTACGTTTTAGCAATTGTTAAAAGTATGTGTCTATTTATTTATAATTAAGACTTAACTATCAAAAAACGAAGAAAACAAGAACAATAAAACTAATTCTGAAAGCCTGAGCGCTGAGAGACATTTCAGGGGGGCCTGTTTCCTCAGAAAGCACAGGTTTGTGCTGATTTCTAGTTTATTAGAATTACCACGCGTCTTATTTATCACGATGCCATTTTTGTAACTTTAAAGCACTTCGAACAGTTATTAATTATACCAATAATGTTAATATTTCAATATTTAAGTACATTAGTTTTCCATGTAAGTTTAACTTCAAATTAGATACACCAAAGGGAAATCTTTATGTCATTTATAATTAATCGAGGTCGCTTTTTCTTGGAATGTTCAGTACCAAAGCTTTACGTGCATCGACTAGTACAAACGCGACATTTCAACAGCGTCTCGTTTACTTGCAGGACCGAAGGTGTATCTCCATTTGCGGGCGTTTCTATTGCGGCAATTGCAGCTCCGCCCGGCTGACCACGCGAGCCGGCAAGCTAAGCGCAGGGCCGTGCGCTTGCCCATTCCGCAGGCAGCAGCACTTTCCCTCACGCGCAGTCCCACTGACCGGGGATTTGGGACATACGGCCGCAACGCCGCGCCGTGCGTGACGCCTGCCCCCACCCCACCCAACCGTCCGCGCCCTTGCTCCAGCCGGGCGGCCTAAACCGACCAACCGCGAAAGCTCTGCCCGTTGCGAACCACACGCACTCGCTTCTCCACACTACCTCCGCCGCGCCTGCCGCTGTCCCGCCCGTCAACTGTACAGCCCAGCGCCCCGTCCGACCGCGCCCCGCCCCACGCCCCGCCGGCCGCCGCCGCGCCCCGCGCGCCCGCGCCTCTTCGTTCCATTCTGCCCGAATATAATTTTTGTGTTTAAATGCTCGAAATCAATATTGAGTGTTCTTTTTTGCTTGAAGATGCAATTATAACGTGTATTACCAAACCTTGGGCCACGGAATATTTATTTATTATACATCCTACCTGACGCAATCGTGATTCGTAGCTTTCAATGAATTATTCAGTTTAGTCGTAGTAATGACTCCCTACTACCTCATTCCCTCAAAATGTGAAAGACTGGTTAAACCATAATCAATTATTTTCGCTCGAAACTTTGAAACGTTAAAGTTAGTTAATACACAGTTTATAAAGTTATTCTTTGCTGTATGTTTCTTTGATGGTGGACATATATTTACGTCTAGTTAGGAATTGACTCACTATCTCAGAACAATACTCATATTCCAGTATGATTTCTTGTTCACAATTAATTCAGATGATCATTGTACCAGAAAAACGTAACAAATTGATTGACATGAAAATAATGTATCTAAATATGCGAATAGATCTCCGGCACTTGAATGTAAGTCGACAGATGAATGAGAATATTTTTTAAAGTACAATCTGTATCTGTATTGTAGAAGATTTTGCTTCTTGCAAAATATCCCTTTGAACAGTGAATGGTGAAAAATTAACTAGAAAAAGGCTGTGAAACTAATATGATTGATTAGTGATTCCGGGCGCATCAACGGCTAAGGTCATTAGTCTGCGGTGCATATTTTTATCTCGGGAGGAGCTGGTGAATTTCCCCACTGGCTGTCGAGATCCGGTGCCGACCTGCGTTGGCTTATGGGAATTTCCCAACCAGGCAACTCTCGCCAGCGAGGCACCGGGCGCGCGCAATGGTTAGTTCACTAAGGTCCTGCTCCGGCATTCGCCTGGTTTTGATGGGAAAGTTCACGGAAATCCATTTATCTGAACAGCCGGCAGCTCAGAGACACTGCAGTGATATTTGTTCCTGCCCTGAGCCACCTTTGCAGACGTGAAGTGAATATAAAACGTGAATGCTGACTCTTGTCTCGGTTGCAGCCATGACGTGGACTGTGGAGCGGTGCCTGCGAGAGGACCCCAGACTGTCACGCGCGGACCTTGACTACCTCAAGGAGTGGCATAAGAAGCAGCCGCACCTTCCGCCCATGACTGGTAAGCAGCTGCGCCCGTGGAGTGAGCTCAGCACTAGAGCAACCAAATGTACTGTAGAGTTAACATGTAAATCACCCTTTTCACTTTCTCGCTATTACGAAGGTACATCATAATAATCGTGGATAAATATTTTTGCTATAGATTAAACTGTTTTCTTTAACACGTCGGGTAGTCAGAATCCATATATTAAGTGTCCTCGATATTGAAAAAATTGATTGTCGAAAAAATATATGTCTGTCTGTCCGCTGTGGTCAAAGCTGGCACCTAAACCGTTCAGTCTATTTTCGCCAAAATTCATATGTTCCGATCGACATGAGTGAACGTAAGGGTTTAGATAAAACCTCAAAAACATTTTCAAAATTTTCTCAAAAAATCATCAAATTTTTGATTAAACTTAGAGACCATGATAGCCTAAAAAACGCTTAAGAGAATGGTGCAGGTCTCACGTTCGTCACCTGACGTTTCGAAAATTTGCAAAAGTGCAATTTTTTGGGTCATCCTCCTAAAACTACAGTACTAAAGATAGTTTTTTCCTCAATGAAATTTGTACCTTAACGATAGACCTTAAATAAGTTCATTTTCAATTTTTCGAAAATGAGTATTTTTATGTAATTTTGTGCGAAATGTAGGCAAAGTGCATGATTATGTGATTATGGAGCACTGAGAAATAATGAAGAAAACGTGGTGTTGTAGAACCACTAGTTTTCACCTCTCTTAGTCCTTGTGGTCTGTCGCTGGTCTCTTGCTCAGCGAGGACAAGTGCTTTGTATGTACTAAGCCAGTGATAATTGTAAGCAATGCCAGCTTACATAACACATTTTCTTGGTACGTAAGTTAGCTATTTGCTTTCCCAACACCGCAAATTAACATACATGTCGAACTCAAACTAGTTTCAGTGTTGCCACATGGCTTTATTTTCTCTTCCTCATATACTACTACTATTAGGAGACTTACCCAGATAATAATTTTAAAAAATTTTAAACTAACAAATTTGTACCTTTTCATTTAAAAAAAAATTAATTAAGTACTATTTACACTTATGTAGCGGGGTAGACGGTCCAAAGGGAAATTATCCCTGAAATATTTGCTCTATGCACCCCTGAAAGAAATAGCGTAGTATATATGGAAACGAAACATAAGTTTTATAATTTTATTTGATTCAAAATTTACGAGAAAAGAACAAATTACTTAACTATGTAATGTAAAAACTATGTAATAAAAAACTAATGTAATGTTAATCTAATGCCGCAGATATACAGTTCATCAAATTCCTGCACTGCAACTATTACAGTCTGGAGAAGTGCAAGGTGTGCATTGACAAATATTTTACATTGCGCACTCATGCTCCCGACATGTTCTCCAATCGGGATGTTCTACTGCCTGTTAATGCAGCTCAAGAACAATTCACGTGAGTTGACATGCAATTGAGTTGTAGCTCCTTGCTCGATGTAAAGGAAGATCTTACTTTACATAATCATTAGAAAAGGCAATGATGGTAACTTGAGAATAATTACAAAACTTTTAATCGGCATCTAAATTAAATAAAATTTAATTTGATTTTAGCATAAATTGCTGTTTGATGTTACTGTCGCTATAATATTATTGTTAGTGTTAATACTGTTATTGAACTACTCTTGTCTGCGTTTAGTAGCATATTTATCTTCTTTTTTCTTACCTTAACCGTTTCACCCAATCCGATGTGGTTTTCTCGTTCCAAATCTCCAAAATCTCCAAATGTGGTCCTTCCGGTTCCAAATCTCGCCGTTCTTCATATTTATTCCTGTAAATTTTGAGACATTTGCATACCTGATTGTTTCTGAGCTTTTTGTGCTGTATTTAATATCATTAATGTTTCTCATACAGTTGAAGGGCACAGTTTAACACCAGCTCTTTATCGCTAAAGCCACATGAAGCTGGGAAAGCAACTCCAAAGTGAGTTAAAATAACTTTAATTCCCTAGAGCAGGTCTGCACAGCATTCTGCACTTTGACCCCGAGAGCCACTTGGGTGCTGGCCCGTGCCGCGTGGATGGGTGGGGATGAGACCCATTGTACAAGTGGGGACTGCCAATGAGAATGCGCAATTCGAAACAAAGGGCGTAAATTGAAAGAGCAATTACAAAAATTGGACAGACTATTTCGACAGACTACACTTTAAGTATCATTACCTTTTGTTTTGGAAATGTTTGTTGTGGATGTATGACTGTGAAATACGACCCTAAAGCGAATTAGACATGCACATTTGATTTGGATATCAGAATTGTAATTGCTTGTAGGACTGATAATGAAATTTACTTTGATACGATGTAATCACAAATTTAGCGTGCTGCTAATACAAAATTGTAATATCGATTCTTTTTTGTTTGATAATGACAGCAATATTTTTTAAGTACATTTAATTGTTAAGATGGCTCTACCAAAGCTTACAAATTTTATTGTTAAAAATAATGATTACTTTCTGCTCTATTTCCCGACAAGAGTACATTACGAAATATTTCTAATTTCAAATCAACGAATACTATTAATTCATAATCGTATTCGACAAAGCATAAAAAGATTAAGACCTTTGCAATCTTTTTAACACGACTCATACTAATGTCATTTTTGAGCGCAAATATCGTAAAGAGCACATTAGTATCAGCTTCATGATGAGGGAAAATGTTCACAAATATACGAATTGGCAAATAATGTACGGAATATTTATTTCAGATATATTTGAAATTTCATTAAGGAAAGCATATTGGCTATTAATATAATGGTTATTTATGGTTATTGCTGGTTAAAAGTTATATGTGAAATACTTTCTATTAATATAACAACGATTTGCGGGTAAAATAATATTTTCAACTTCTTAAGGCAAATGTTATAGTGCTATTCTCCGATGACATTTGAAGCTGGTTAACTTTTAAAGTCACAGAAAATGAAGTAGCCCGACAAAAAAGGAGTACTCGCACTGACGTAATTGTTAACTATTAGGCCCGAAGTGAGCCGTGCGTCGGCAAACGCGCGGCCTCCATGATGCAAGAAGTAAACGTCCCGCACTCGTTCGCCTCGATGTGAAACCTGTAGAACAAGTTTCAGTGTTCTGGAGATAGCAGCAAAAAGGACAGTACTGTACGGAGTGGTTTGGTATTCTAATATTTAACTATTTCGTCTACGAAATATGCAACGCCAGATAACACTCCAGACAAGAAACTGGCGCATCCAAGAATATCCAGAAAAAAGATGTATGTAAAAATGAAATAAGCATGAAAAGTATTGGTTTCACTAACTTAATAATAAACAATAATATCATTAATTACATTTCGCAACTGAAAGACGTATTAGAGGCCACACTTACAAACTTGAGATGTGTAAGAGTGTTGATGTGGACATCAGAGTTAAAACATCTTCAATTATTGGATTATAATTTTGAAACCACATTATTTCATCTATTGTCTCTTCGGGCTTGATTTTTAGAATACGTCTGTGGTACTCTCTTTTTGCGAGAGATTTAATTTTCTATGACTTCATAAATTGACCATCTTCAAATGTCATAATGTAATAACACTATAATATTTGTCGTACGAAGTCCAAAATATTATTTTATGCCAACAATCTCGCACCCCCAAAAGTTCACGGACTTGTGCTGAAACAGTGTGAGTAGCTCTTTGGCTCAACTGATTACAATTAGTTACTAGAAGAAACTACGAAAATTAATTAATTTCATTAATTCTTTATTTTCATTCACGAAGAGCGCCAAAAATAATGTCGTAAATCGCATATGTTTACCTCATCATATTTGCACCCCACATATACAGAATTCAGTTGAGAATTTTGACACCTTAAAGAATAAAAACCATACCTATGTAACTTGCAAATTCGTGACTATGAAGAAACATTTTGGCACTTTCGTACTCCTGGTGACCGTAGACAGGCTTCTTGTTTCCAATTCGGCCAAAAAGATATGAATCACAGAATTCTGCATCTCTGCTGCCTTTTCATACAGCTATTAACATACCAGTAGGCTTGTTTTTGGCTTCCGAGAGTCATCCCGGATATACATTTGTTGAGCGATCCCGCTTGCAATGGCTTTGGTCAGTATGGAATTATGTAGCTGCATTTCGATGCAGGCTGTTCTGTAGCCTCAATGTGATTCCTAATAAGATTGAAAATTGTGGATCAAGAGGGAGACGAGTGAGGGGTCATTACCCCCTACCTCCTCTTGTTAAAATATCGATTTTAACTTCAAATAGTAACAGCAAAAAACCAGATATCTCACGTAAAAAGTAGCCCTTAAATATCTTCTTAACCGTTGCATATATTTAAATGAGGTTACCTCTAAACAAAATTGTTTTTGAATGACGCGTAAGAGGCTAAATAATATTATATTAGAATGTTTTTTGCTTTAGAGATATCGACAAAAATCCATTTTTTAAATGTAACACTAGAGAATTCTCTAGCCCATAAAGCTCGTGAAGCGATGAGTTTATAAATATGCATATTGCTTTATGATACATAATTATGACAAATGTAGATTTTTACGTCACAAAAGTTGTAATTGATAATTGCTACAAAAGTAATTCTTGAATTTAGTAAAGGTGTTAACTAAACTTTCAACTATAATTCATTATTCATATATATCTCAAAATCTGTAAAAAGTGGATTTAGTACGTTTTATTTCACCTTCTTATGCCAATGAACGAGTAATCTAAGTGAACACTAACTTAGAATTAGAGCATTTCATTGTGATATTCAGTTGTACCGAATCCTTTAATTTTTTAGAGTTTTGGAAATGGCGCTCAGTAGATAAGCAGCATTAATTGCTACATACCATGTTGAAATTGGTCATTTTTTCCAAGGGAGGAGAGAACGTACAAAAATTGAAGGGAAAAAAAGCGAACAATCTGAGGTGTCGTGACAAAACCACCGTTTTATGTTTTTCTATCAGCTCTGAATATTATGAGTACATGCTGCTTTTGATTGTTCCTTAGAATAGCCTCCGACCTTGAAAGTAAGCTCGGTGCTCAATGCAACAGGGCCAATAAACATTACCATATTTCCCAACCGAAGATTTTTTCAAATTTCTTGATTTGTAAACTTTTGAAAGTAGTCATAAACGAGGTACCTAGAAATGGTTTACGGTATTGTGGACAACTTAATACTTTTTTAGCAGGGTACATCCATCTCTGTAAATGGGGGGGGGTCCTCACGTGTTGCGTTATGGAACAGGGATTTTTTTTGATATTTTTGGTGTACTGAAAACTGTCGCACTGAAATATATTCTGTTTTTACAGAATTGATAAATATTGTTGTTTTTGTTTTATATAAATATTTAATTTTTTGCAGTGTTATGCTAGAGCTTTTTATACTGTTCATGTGCAGTATGCACGCACTCTTCTGTTTCGAGCCACTAGTTTGTCTTAAAAGTCTGTTCCATTTATTCGGAGATTCGTGCAAATGGTGGTGAATATTCTGCCACAGATTGGTCGTCGACATTCCCAAGCGCGATTGCAACGGCTACCGAGTGATCGGGCTGGGGCTGCAGCCGGCCGCCGACCTGTCCGACCTGGTGCCGGCACGCGCCGCTTTGGTCGCCTTCGCCATGATGGACCTCCTGGTGCGCGAGTGGCCCATCTGCCCCGGCTACACCTTCGTCCTGGACGCGGCCAACCTGCAGTTGGGGCACATCGCCAAGGCCTCCGTCCCCCTGCTCAAGAAGATGCTCACCTACGTGCAGGTGAGCACATTCGACTTCGCAGATTACTGCTATTAAATTAATAACACTGATGAAGTATTAGAGAAATAACTTCATTAACTGCCATATACAGAGAGTCGTATTCCTGCAAGCGGAACTGCTGCAGACGATCTGTTGTGTGTGGCAGGCCGTAGGTTCGGACGCCATGGCCCAGATTTTGTCCTCAGCTATTTCTATCTTTTCTTTTAATTCAAGAAATTTCTGCCCGATCAGCATTACACGTTTTACAGTGACGCAGAGTTGCAGATGGTTGTCCAACCCTGGTACTTGTCCCAGACGACATATTTCTACGACACTGGGATATACAAGTAAATGTTGATCACACGATATACAAATATCTCAATTCTGGTAATGATCGTGACAATAATTAGTGCATAATGTGCTGTATTTGTCACAAAGTTTCTCCATTGAACTGTGCCTCTTTCTGTTGATGTAGAGAAAACTACTTTCTTGATGCACCTCACATCCAGATATTACATACGAATAATGTTATGCACAATATAAATTACTTAAATTACAAACTAGATGGTGTAAAAAGAAAATATCGAATAATTAAGAACTAACTAACTAACTAAGAACACATATTTATATAAATTCATATATTCACTAGTCGTTAGTAGACTGAAGTTTACTTCGTTGACTGTAGTGAACGAAAATTAACATCAGGGGAATTGGAACTTTCTTCTGCAGTCACATGCGCCCCACATGCCCCACGTTCGAATCTCTTCTTAGATATTCCCCTTCGAGTTTTTGGAAAGTCACTGTACCTCTTGAGGCGGCTCGCGAGCTCTGACCTTGTGTGCCTGGGGTAAACAGCGGTATAACATTACATTTTCCTACGAAACATTGTGTCAGAGAGTGATATTTGAACAAGCACACCTAAAATACTTTTCCTTTTAAGAAAGGAACGAAGGAATATTAAAATTTTTATATAATTGTTATTTTAATTAATTTTTATTTGTACTAATTGAGTACGAATGACGATGTATATTTTCTCGAAAGTGAGTACTACAGTAGACCTACTACTAAAATTACGCAACAATATCGTCGAATAAAAAATGGCCCACTTTTTCTTTTACGTCTATACTTTGTCATATCTCAATAAAGAAATTACCACATCAATTACCATGTTTTGCGGAATTTATTCGGCGTTTTTAATTGAAAAAAAATACTAAATTATTTAAAGAACTTCTTTTGTGTACCCATGGTATTCAGACCCCTTTCAAAGACCAAACTGAAATCATGGGTTTTGATAACGGCGGACAACGACGTCTGCAAATAATGCGAAATTTGACACACTGGATTACGAGTTACACAATTTTTGAATTTGCTCATATGTAAGACTTCAATGCAATCTTGAGATACAGACGTTCGCAAGGGGCAGGTATTCGCCCAATACACTTCATTGTTTGTGAAGCCATTTGAGGATTCGGAAATTAAAGACTGGGAGAGGTGTCTCAGGGCATCAACTGACTTGACAGCAGTGCGTTCGGCAGTGCTTCCGGTCACTGCAGTTCAGACCGGAAGGGCCTTGATTCCAGTTCCAACGATTTTTGACACTAGCTAGTTAGCTACGTCGAATTCTGGCGCTGTCTAGAGGAGAATTCTAGCGGCTGGCAGCTCTTTTCAATAGTTTTCCGAGGTTAATAATACCAGGCGAATGCCCGAGCAATAGCCTAGCAAACGGGGCACAAAGCACGCGCGATCTTTCCTACCTCTTCCTTGTTCTATCGTCACTCCTTACTTACACAATACTAACCTTCCCCACACTACCGCACATGCCGGGACCGGTTGGGAGGTCAGAGCTTGTCCTGTTAGCGGGAGATGGTTGAGTAAAACGCCGCTGGGCGACAGGTGGTCCCCATCTCCCCCCCCTCCCGAGATCAAAACAGGCACTACACGTACAGGACTATAGACCTCAACAGTTGACGCGCCCAGAATCACTCATCAATAAATCTAATCAATCAGGAATTAGAAGCGTTTTTATCGCCAGCTGCGTGACGCAAATATTCTCGTCTTTTTTTCGTGGTGGTCTGCGCCGCCCGTCAGGGACATTCCAGCAGTAATCTCAACTGCGAGCTAAGATTGTGGTTTCGGAGCCTCCCCCCCCCCCTACATGCCGATGGGTTCCGAAAACAATGACCAGTTAATTCTTTTAGGGGAAACGCAACAGAGATTACATATTCTCAGTGCTACATTCACGTTTTGCATAATTACTCGTACATGCGACCATTATAATATACTAAGTGAGGAACTTTAATAGGTCATAGCAAATATCTTGAAAACGTGTTGAGATATCGGGATGCGGGTTGCGCCAAAATGTGTATAATAGGGGAAGTAACTTGTTTCATTTTCTTACTCGCAATTTTGTTAATTTTAGAGATATTGATACAGCATTGATTTTTTAAATGCATGTATATTCTATTTTTCGAAAGTATTTTAAAGTTCTCAAAGGGTGGAATACAATGATACAAGTATCGTTAATACGGACAGAAACTAGAAAAAGAAATGTGTTCTACATTTCATCAGCCAGGAATGTGTTCGAAAATTTGTTGCTCCGTCGGACGCAAACTAGTGGTGCTACAACAACACATAATTTTTTGTATTAATTCTAAATTTCAATTTTCGAAAAATCTGGGATTTCAACGAAAAACAGACGCGCAAAGTTCTCTTTAACACAAATGTTTATTTCTTAATCTAATATATGGGATATATATGCCTCTATTTACAATATGTACATTCTTGGTTATTATTTACAATGTATACTATTGGGTGTTATTTATAATACATAAATCTATTGGAATGGCTCTTCCGATCAGAATCTAGTTTTTAGTGACTTGTGTCCGGCATTGATCCTCTTGTACATTTTCGTATAAGCGTCCTTTACGGTAGCCGACTACAAAGATTAATCAAGAAGTTGATGTCATATTTGAGAAAATTTCTAAATATTTCTGATACTTCATTTACAATACCGTCAAAAATCGAAGTATCCGTTTGGGACGCGTAAAGCCTTGAGCTCATTCAGATCGATCGGGGAGTATCAATTTTGAAGAAAATCGAGCTAATGAGGCGCTAGGAATGACAACATACAACGATATTTCGATATCAAGGACTCACAAAACATGGATTCTGGCTACACCACGCGTTTGAGAATTTTTTCTATATTTAGTGACAGAATTTATCCAATTTTTCGTGACGAGGGCCGGGAAATACGAAGGTCGTGAAAAATGAAAAGTAAGAAAATGAAAACTAAAAGTCTGATGCTCAGCAATTTATAATATGGTATATTTCAAAACAAAATGTATATTTTCGAAAAATACCAGATTATCCATAACTGATAACGAAATAAGCGTATTGAAGCATACGTTTTAAAACAGTAAATCCATTTTATACATTCACTTGCGAGCAATAATGACCTTTCATATTTTATCAATGAATTCTTATCATTTTTATGTTTCTGCATTTGAGTTTACGCTCGTTTACAGGAATAAATTATTATTATTATTATTATTATTATTATTATTATTATTGTTATTATTATTGATTTGTTCACTTATTGTAGGAGGCAGCACCGATACGGATGAAAATTGTTCACGTAATTAACATAAATCCAGTGGTGGAGAAGGTAATGCTCCTCATCAAGCCGTTTTTGGGAGAAGAGCTACAAAAAATGGTAGGTATCTTTCCTAGTATAAGACTATTACATAGGTCGCAATTGTTTTTTACATCTCGCCGAGTTTACTTATATTGAGTTCATTTTTAAAATAATAAATATCTCTTTCATAATTTTCTAATATAAAGAACTTTTTTAGTAGCCCAAATAATGAAAATTGACAGAAACAGACGAAAACATAAGATGTTATTACACACGTTATGTTGACGTCTCCGGATAAATAGTAAATAGTATCTTTTTTTCAGCTGAAGTTTCACTCAGGTTCAATGGAGTCATTTTATGAGGCGTTACCCAGGGACATGTTGCCCCATGAATTTGGAGGCACCAGTGGGTCAGCCGTAGAATACCACAGTAAGTATGGCCACCATAAATTTTATAAATATGTTAAAGAAATATTTGAATATTTCTCTGAATTAAACGTGAAAACCAGGGCATCTGGTAACAAATTGACTATTCCAATCGTTACAGGAGTACTTTAAGATGATACAAGTTTACTTTAAAAAAATGGACGTTTTTAGGCCATTTAAAAAGCAATTAAAAGTTGCCATTTAATTCACATGATGAAATTATCTAACGACAAAGATATTTATGTTGTATAGAGTAAAGTGCGCGGATGTGGAATACTTTTTACATTTTCGCTTACAACTTTACAAATAAGCAAATTGGAGGACTAAATGTAGACAACTTAAACTAGTCATTTATAAACACGTGTAATTAATATTATTCACTTAAATCTGTTAGAAATGTACTATATTTTGTAGTTAAAAAAGGTCTACATTTATTCCACCCTACACGAACCTTGTTACTAAAGTGGAATAATGAATGCTTTTTCTTTTTAGCGAATGATAAATACATTAATGTCTAGAACAAACTTCATTTAAGCGAAAATGCATTTTTGGTTTAATATAACAGACACTTCCTGCAGTCGAAATTATCTTTTGGATTACTTGCACATGGGATATGAGCCCGATTCTTACAGTTCGGGCACCGATTCTAATCTGTTGAGCCTTTGAACCATATACCTCCACAGAACGGAATACCATGTCAGCATTAACATGTTACAAAATGCAACTTACAGCAACAACAGCCAAAAAAACCAAGTACATTTTACATATAGCAGTAATTCGGAATATTCTACATTAGGGCAATGCTCGTATTCCACATTATGGACCTAGCGCCCAGATGTTTCGCGGTAAAAAAAGCATCAAAGTTCTTTATATATTCTGTAATATTTCCTTAGATATACAACTAGCACATATTAAAATAATAACCTATATAATATTTACAGCAAACTAGTAACAACAATTCTTTTGTTTAGTGCTCCAATATTTTTGTTGGCGCTCTGAAGAATAAACTTCTGTCACTTTACTCATTAGCTTCAAATCAAAAAACATCTACGCTCGATAAAGTAATTCTCTATTTTGGTCTCTAGACGTCTGCTCAATACAAATCCGATACTTCGGTACTTCACGTTGGGAACGAATTCCACATTAGGGGACGTTTCCCTACTAGTTATAAGAATAACAAGAACATTTAGTAAACACATTTGTAAACAAGTTTCTAACATAAACCAATAACAAATCTAACATAACATAACATAACGTAACATAACCAATCTAACATAAACCAATAAATACATTTATAATTTTGGGATTATTTTCATGAACTCAGCATTTTCTCGAAAATGGCTATAAATTTTGTCTTTAATTTTTTTGTAAGAGTGAAGTGAAAAATGAAAATGGCATCGGCTTGATTTCCAACACTACCGTAAATTTTCGAAAATGTTAAAAATACAACCTTTTTTAACAATCACATACAACAACATTATTGAAAACATACGTTTGTAAATGAAATTTGTTTTCAATTAGTTATGTAACTACTGTCAAGTAAATTGTTTGAAAATATTAGTTTTCTTGCCATTGACGTCAATATTTTGCGCAGTCCGGCTTCTTTTCCGAGTCATTTGATAAAACAAATTCCCTACAGTAGGCTACCAACCCATAGCTAGGTATCCTGATGGTGGGGCTGCCACCTTTGTGCCTCCAGGCTTGCACTGTTTTTATGCCGAGGCGTACTTCCTCGAGGGTGGTTGCTGGCGAAGGCCGCTGATCTCTACTGGACCATTTACATGCACTGTCCTCATGGGTAGGGTAGCTTCACGCGCTCTTTCGCGCCAGCTTCGTCGCTGCTGCTCCGCCCGTTGACGTCTTCACACGTGTAAGGCTCTGCACCCCTGCAAGGCATCCCGAGGTTAGGGATATTTATTCGAGGCTCTCCTCTTCATGACAAAGGTCTTCTTCGGAACTGGCCGTTCAGGACCTCTTCTGTGGATCCTCACCTGGCAGTTAGGCCATCTTCTGGAAAACTTCGTCTGTCACCTCCTCTTCGACCTGTCTGGCAAAGGAGGCCCTACCATAGCTACGCTACCGCCAGGGTAGCTCTCAGGATCATGGGGGTACTCAAGCTCCACCTCCAACGACAAAGCCATGTACTCCCTAGGTGGGGTAAAAGAGTTAAATAATAAATTTATAAAAAGTTGCTGCTGCTTTAAAATATCGTTTAAGTGTCGCAGTGAACATAAACGTGTACAGCGTTAGTAAAAATAATGTTGGGCGTTTCTTAAGTGACAAGAAGTCAATTACCTAGTACTTTATGTTATGATTACATCCAATACACGTCTGTAATATGTAAAAAATGACCAAATGTAAAAGTATCTACAATAAAAATATATTGCTAGCCACATTAGTCATCTCTACATTGGGCCGTTTCTTACGTTACATGTAGTCGTACAACAAAAACAAATCATGACATAAAAGCTATTCATGAAACTAGTTTGATATCGACATCTTAATGAAAAGAGAATCAGTCAAACATTTATCTATGACGATTACAATTTTCATTGTCGGTGGTCAGTGAAGACTGTTGATATTTATTTTTATGATTATTATACATGAAAGTCTCAATTACGATAGTTATCTTTCTCTTTTGCTCCAAAAAACACCACCTTTTTTGCCTTCGAAAAGGAGACTTATATCGAAGTTTTAAAGCAACTAGTGCAATAGTTAATCCATTAGAGCACTAGTTCTACAATAAAGCTTTCATATGAGTCATATTGTGCATTGTCGTAGATAACGTAGTTTATGCAATTGACTTCTTTCCACCTGTTAAGAAACTTTGAATAACCCGTCACTGCAGTGTGCTAATTCCTATGACACTAGGACCGGCTCAAATTACATCTTTGTTCTGCAGGGAAGCTGTTTAAGCAGCTGAAGGAAAAACGAGAGGAGCTGATCGAGGAGGAAAAGTTGCAGCAGGTGAACGAGAATCTGCGGCCGGGACGTGCAAAAGACGCTGGCGAAGTCTTCGGCATGGAAGGCTCCTTCAAGAAGTTGGACATAGACTAAGGCGCCCGTCACTGTCTCGCTATGTGAGCACTTCCGACAATCACGGCGCAATTAACGCCGTACGTCTTAGGATGTGTCAAACAGCAAACTTCCGCGTGGTCGGGTAACCCCAACAGGTCGCATATTTGGGAAAGAACCTCTACAATATAAGTTGGAAGAGTTACAAAACGATTGTGGCATATGAACATCCGTGCACACTATTTTAATATTTTCTAATATTTTTAAAGATTTTTAAGCTCCTTTGATGTAAAAGTACGTCTTTTGAACGCTCTGTCTGAGGAAGAAATACCAAAAATGAAGTGTATTTAATCAATGGATACTAGTTTTTTCAATTCATGTATACATTGATGAATACACAGGAAATGTCCAGTTTGTTAACTTTGTCTTATGTATTGTGATAACGTAAAAAAGTAGAGAGGAAGTTCTGATTTTATGGATTAGACGGATATTATAGAATACCGGCCTTAATCTTCTGCCAAGAGCTGCAGACAAGCGAAACAATGATAAGCTACTTCAGAATGCTCGTATCATGTCTGCAATCAGTGTCACGGTTGCCACGTGCAACATGGCTGCTACTGAAGAACATTCGTAATCTGGTTTCACAAAATTTACGCACAAATGTTTTGACAAGCCAATACTATTAGTTTATTATTTTTTTTCTAATATAGAAACTAAGCTCAATGTACACCACGAGTTGCTTTTTATTACTTTATGGTAGTAGCGAAACGAAATGAGTGCGGGTCCGCCTTCAAAACTTTTATCCTTTATAAAAGTGTATAGCACACATAAGTAGTCATAGTACCTTAAATAATAAAACAATCCTTTAACAAATTCCAATTCCTCGGTCTATGATAAATACATAAGAAATCAATATTACAAACAGATTGTACTGATTTAGAAACATGTCGGCTTATATGGAATATGTCTTCACATTTCATTGTATTATTTGAGTTGGAGTTCATACCACCTTCTGAACCAGACAACTATGATACAGAATGTATCTTCTGTTCAGGGAAGTTTTCTGAATATAGACGGGAGAGATTTATCCTCTTCCTTGTGAGCCCACCCTGACTGATCTGGAGCTGAGCAGGAAAAGTACACGAGTGATTTTTGAAAGTAAACTATTAAAAACAGATGAAAATTGTGTTTCGTAATGTCAGATTACAAACATTTTTATCAATCTTATTTTATTTTTGTCATTTTGGAACTTTTATTCCACCTAGCCCTACTACTTCATATTTCTCTTCAACTGCAACGTTAAAAACAAATTAAAATTATTGTTATTAAAAAGTTTGTTTTGTTTTTAAAGTTTTAAAACATTTTTAATTGATAATAATTGAGGTTTGGGTTCATTTCATATTCCGTACTCTAAACAAAGATTACAATGTAATGCTAAAAAATAAAAACGGTATTCCATATTACCCGAACTTCCTCTACTTATTCTAAATTAACATTCAACAATACTAATTACATAATGATGAAGAGAACTCATAGAGCACCAACTAATTTAACTGTTTGATAAAACGTTGAGGACTGGTTCTAAGGGGAATAAGTTTTTAATACGGGTTGGGAAATAATTGCTAGATACCGTAAGTTATAGTGGGCGTCTTGTGTTCCTTAAAATAAGTAGAAAGTATTGTGTATGTGGTAGGTGATAGGGGGTAGGCTTATATCTTCAGAAAGTTTTCTGTTTGATATGAACCAAGGCACGAGTGCGAATCTTATTTTTATTTACGAGACATTGATCCATATTTCGCATGCGTTTAGGATAAGCGCATTGCTTTATACAAAGCTATTACATTGTGCAATGAGTCTCCTTTAGCTGTTGCGTTTAGGTGAATTAACTTATATTTAGTGTGTGTGTGTGTGCGTGTGTGTGTGTGTATGTGCTGTGCGTGTGCGTGTGCGCGCGCGCGCGCGTGTGTGTGTGTGTGTGTGTGTGTATAGCAGGAAGTGCTGGGTTTATGCGACATCGGTTTTCCAAATTAATCTGGAATCGAAATTCAGACCAAGATATTTTAAAGTTTGATTTTGTAATATCAATGAGACTGTGTCGTTACGTGGGAGGGGTGGGAGTAGATAATGGGTGAAAAGTTTGACGCTGATGTCGAATTAATATTTAGGAGGGCGCGAAGAATTGCTCTCATAAGATTATTATATAATGTGAACAGGTGTAAAACGTGAAGAGATAGGTGTACAATATAAAAAATAGCCAATTACAGTAAAAGTTTTACTTGTAATAATTATCCACTTATTTTTTTAATTTCATTAGGTGTACTCAAGTTTTATGAAACGTGGCATTTACAATAGTGTTATTGGCGTTTCAGTACTTGACTTCGATACTCCAAATGAAATTAGCACACATGAAGCTGATTGGTGTGTTTTGTAATTGTCAATGTTTAAAGATAAGAAAAATGAGTTTTTAATCCTAATGTAAAATATTTAACAGGAAAGTTGGAAAATATATTCTCAATATCTTGTTATATATTGCTGTTCCTTTTCTAATATTAAGAAACTATTTCAATGTTATATTCTTATACTATAGTGTATGGTGTTTAATATATCTATTAGATAGGGAGTATGAGAGAATTTTGGCCTTAGTCTTAATATATGAACTTCGAGTAAAATAGAAAATAAAATACTTTTTATATATTTATATTCCGATTCAAAAATTATAACAAATAATTATATTTTTGTAATATCGCTCCAATTTTCGGAAGATTGTAAATAATTCTCTAAAATTTCGTAACGAGAAGCATCGTATCATTTAGAGATTTCTAGTGGAAGAACTCCGACGTTGCTCGGATCTTTCTGAACTCATCTTATAGACAGGCAATAAGCTCTACCTGAAACGTAAAATGGAAGTAATTGTATTTCATCTTCGCCCCCGTGCTCCCTCTCTGCTACACTCTCCATTGTCCTTGCTTGCGCCACTGAAAACACGCACTCCCCCCCCCGCCACGCCCCCCCTGCCACATCCGAACCATCCGACCTTTTGGATTCTCTAATTTTATTTTCACAGAAGTTCTCATGTGTCCATAATCGATTCTTTATAACATTCATACTATTTTCCCCCCTGCCTATTCCCAATCCAATTATTTCCCATACTTTGTATATTTAATATACGGATAATGCTAATCCCCATGTTTTCATTCAACATACTATCATAACATTTCTTTTTAATTCTAACTGGTTTAGCTCTCAAATGACCCACCACACGTAAAAAATTCATTTCATTATCTTCAACTACGTAAAAATTACAGGAGATGCTAAAGGTACATGATTCACTCTGTATAAAGAGGTAATCGCCTAGCGTTTAATTCTCGATTATGATGGTCCCAGGCCAACTGTCGGTCAACCAGGTGGTTAAAGGTTTATTTGGAGCATGGGGATCGGGTATTATTTTTAATTTTGGGTCCTCACACACTATAAATTACCGGGGAATCGGCTTAGGTCCGTGCAAGGAGATTTAGACTATTTTTTCAAACGCTATTGACACATCATTTAACGATAGTCGGGAGCAACAATGATTGTGGGAGGAACCGTGAGAAACAATGGCTGCAGAAATAAATTTGCAAAGTCAAATTACATGCAGATCGCCAACGCAGAACGCACAAGAACGCAAAAAAAAAAAAAAAAAAAAAAAAAAAAAAAAAAAAAAAAAAAAAAAAAAAACAAGAATTGCTTCATGGTCACGCGGCTTTGTAGGTATGGTATTTCAGGTTTTCTTCCGTAATACGTGTAGAAAGCGAGCGTGGATTTCTATTCGCTTTCCTCTGTAAAACTAGACTGCTTAACAAATCATTTTTGAGTTTTGTATGAATGTTTTGATCTCAATTTATAACACTTTACCCAGAAAACGAACAGGGAGTTTGGAGTCATGCTTAAGAAAATTTTGTTGAGGTATTTTTGAAAAATTCTCTCGATCAGACTGCGAATTATGCAAGAGATACTAATGTAATGGAAAAAATTATATACGAAATGGCTCTAAAAATGAAATTTAGAGAGCTAATAAAGAAAAGAATGGATTCAGAAAAACGCCCAGCTTCAATAAATAAAGGAATTGTGGGAGTCACAAAACATTTCCAAATTTACGAATTTACAAATATTTAATAAATGCATTTTGAGAAAATTTCGAAAATACTAGGGCCTCTAACTCTGAGCTGAGATCGATCGGGGAATATTCATTTTGAGAAATATCCTTTGCCCTGTTTAGGTTGCTAGTGTTTTTAGGTGGATGTAGGGAAGCGCAGACGGATCAAAATATGTTTCAGAAATCTGAGACTGACAGACAGTGTACTTTCGACAGCATCTCGACAGTGAGTTTATCTGAACGTCACTTTCTCAATTTTGTGTAAAGTAATAGTTATTCATGCACCAAGGGAGTTCTAATGCTCCCAAGAGCTTTTTGTCGCCCGAGATCATTAAAGCAAGTTAACGCCTGTCGTACATACTACACGATTTTATTCTTTACGTAATTTTAATGATTCAGATCGACTTATTTACTAATGAACTACTTGATAACTTGACTCTGTTTATCTTTCCATACTTCCCTTCCATAATGTCCTTTCATAATTCCCTCCATAAGAGAAGAGCATTCAACTGTTTTCATATTTCCCTCGAAACCACGATCCTGTCGATCCAGGTATGTGTACGAGATCAAACTCCATATCGAAGGCAATATCGTATCAGTAAAACAATAAGAATGTTATCTTACTTCTCGCGCGAGCACTGTAGCTATCTCGCAATCGTGCAAAGTGGAACCTTGCATTTTATTGTTGTGAGAATGAGATAAAGCTTAAAGAACTAGTCTTGCCGCCGCCGTTAGAGCTGGCAGAGCCTTTGACCACGCGCGCAGTGGCTTCGCTTCCAACGCCGCCTCCGCCACGCCTCTTCTGGAAGCCCCGAGACGCTGCCCCGCCGGGACCCGTTCCTACAGCGCAGGTGAACGAAACCACACTTCCATAGAGTAGTTCCTGTTTTCGGGCGCGGCAACTGCTACGGTCCTTAATGTGGTATATATTTTTATTACGGGAGATGACGGTGTTCTTCTCCCGCTACTTGCAGGTTTTTTTTCCGTGCAGGCATTTTCTATAAAGCATTTCGATAGGAATTACTGTAAGAAGGGTCCACTTTGACGGGTTGGGAAACAAAAGAAACATCACGCAGGATAATAACATTGCAAGCGACGGTGATGAATACATTTACAAATGAGCCAACAGTAAGCAAACTCTCCAACAAAGTGAGTACATGGATATTGAGAACCTGCAATTATGTCGCCAGCAGTGGCTAAGCGGAAGCCGTGAAAGCTCTCTCTCTCGCTGCACAACAGCGGGTCACCGCCGCAGGGCGAACAAGCTCTCAGCCCGATTGGTCTCCTGACAGGTGTGATAATGTAGTGCGCAGAGAGTAAGTGTATGTAAGTCAGGGGTGAAGATAGGACACGGGCAAGGAAGGGAAGATCGGACGCTCACGAGCAACCAATAATTCATTCTTGTACGAATATAATACTGCAATAAGTTGTAAAACATACAGTATTTACGAATACTGAAATAATCGTACAGAGGTGTACTATACAGTGTATAAAGAAGGCAACAGTTCCTAACATACCAAGTATATCAAAGCCAAATACTATAAAGATAATACAGGCCCCTTTGAACCTTTCTCATACCATTAATAAGACACAACTGCCCACTAGCAAACTTAGTGTCGTGACCTGGAAAATCGGCCACAAATTCAAATTTCAATACATTTACAATACATTTATAACGACTCTGTGAAACGTAACTAACCATAATCGTAAGTAAACTAAAAATCTTTCAAACTTATACACTTCGTACTTGATATCACAACGGTTGTGACAGGTCGGACCACTGGGGTCGGTAGATTCAAATGTCTCCCGTTACATCAATGCGTTGCAGTGACGGTTTGTGCTTAGGTTGCACAACCCCCAGATAACCGAAAAATATTTTATAATATATTAGGAGCAAAAATATTCTTTTTAATGGCATTAAACGTTCAAGAAATTGCAGCAATATTGATGTATAAGAAAGCATTACAAATAAAAGAGCTCCCAGCGAGCACTCTCTCCGGGGTCTGCGCTCGCAGGCCTCACACTGCGCCATGCGTTTGGCTCCATTACTGCGTTTACTCTTTGGCTCTGTGCTTCAACACGGCTCGATAGGGCCTTTGGTTGCACAACCAATGAGAGGCCGTCTT